TTGTAATTTTTGTCAGAAGAGGGTAAACAGGGCTTGTATTTCTGAACTTCCTCTCTAAGTAAATAGCATTAAAAAGCAGTCTATGTTCTTATTTCCTAAAACAGGAGGAGTTTTGGAGTTTACAATTCCCTGCTAATATATAAGCTAAATGTTACCTATCACCAAAATTGTCCTGAAGTTGTTCAATTAAATCTCTTTATTTTGCAAGAGTCCATGCAGCGAAAGTAGTAAGGGCGGCTCCAGCTGGTGTGCAAGCCCCTAATATAATGTGGTTTCTATAACAGCTAAAAGGCAGTTCAATCCCGAGGGCTTAGAATGCCAACATTGGAATCATTAAGAATTAGGGAAAATCAGATGATATTATAGAATTATACCCCTGAAACATATATAATTTTATTAACCAATGTCACCCTAATCAATTCAATTTTTTAAAAATCTAAAAAGAAAAGAATTACGGAAACTTACCAACGTCATATGTAAAACTAAAAAGAGAATGATGCATAAAACATATGTAGTATAAGGAAAAACTAAGGGTATATTACTTTCTTAGTTGAGAAACTGTGGTAAATACCAGCTTGTCCAAAGCTTGCAATGTTATATCATTATTAACATAATTTTTTCCTCAATACAATTAAAACAAAACTTATTTTTCACTTTTATCATTATGCTTTTGGACATGTCTCCTTCTAGCACAGTCCCAAATTCTTCCTCGCAGTATTCCAACCAAGAACTTGGTTCTTAACTGAGAGTGATTTTGCCCCCCCACCCCCACCCCCACGGACACTTGGCAACATTTGAAGACTTCTTTGCTTGTCAGGACTGGGGAAGGGGAGCTACTGGCTGTGAGGAGGGTACCAGGTTGTCCTATCCCTTCGTGGCCCTGGGTCTGACTTCAGGCCCAGCGCAGCAGAAAGGGTCCCTGGGCCCTTAAATAGAAGAGTCATGCTCCATCCTTCATGAGCATCCACAAAAGCAGACCTCTGTTTCTTTTTTATTAATTATTTTTATTTTTGAACAGACCTCTGTTTCACTAATCTTTCCCCAATGGAGGGAGAAGCAGCAAGTGATTCACACACCAAGTCATGCCCCAGAGTAGCATTATGAGGCACTGGCTGGAAAGGAAAGTGCTGCCTGGACTTTAAACTCAAATGGCCTTGGTGTTCAACCCCAGCCCTGCCTAGTAGCCTTTCTGAGACTCGGTTTGCTCCACTGGATATTAAGTGAGGCTTAGAGAAGGCACATTTAAAGTACCTGGTACAGTGCTCAGGTACTGTGGTGGTGGATAACAAGACGGTAACACAGAAACAGCAATAATCATACTTACTGAGTTTCTTTATGACTTATAATTTTTCACTTATTTTTCACATACAATCCAATGAGTTTTGTAAATCATTGCATTTACAGAGTTTTGTAACCATAACTGCAATCCAGTTTTAGAAAGTTTCATGCCCACCTCAAAGCTAAAAGATCCCTTATGCCCGTTCATGGCCAATGCTGTTCCCACCCCCAGTCCTGAGCAACCACCAGTCTGCTTTCTGTTGCTATAGATTAGTCTTTTCTGGACATTTCATGTAGATGGAGCTATAAAATATGTAGTCTTTTCCATCTGGCTCTTTTTACTTAACATAATGTTTTTAAACCTCAAATTCTTTTAATCCTTTTCCAACAATGTTACTTTATATTTGGCTAATTCTTTACATGTTTAAAGTTGTCTGATTATCCTCCTAGATGGTTTTGCTCAGTGGGTAGTGTGTCAGACTGTGGCATGAAGGGTCCTGGGTTTGATTCTGATCAAGGGAATATGCCCGGGATTGTGGGCTCAATCCCTAGTAGGGGGCATGCAGCAGGCAACCAATCAATGATTCTCATTATTGAAGTTTCTCTCTCTCCCCACTTCTCCCTTCCTCTCTCTCTAAAAATCAATAAAAATATATACTTTTTAAAAAGTTGTCCTATTATCTTACCACAGTAACTCTGAGTTAGGTAAGGTAGTGGTGGTGTCCTGTTTCACAGAGGGGAAACTGGGACAGTGACTTGTAAGAGGTCACCCAGACAGTTTTCTGGCAGAGAAATAACTAGAACCTTGTCTTCCTGATGCAAGACTATAGGTCTCCACCAGTCTGTCCTCCGCACCACCAGAGGAGAATGGGCCTTTCCTCCCATCTGATCGCAGAGGTTATTTATAAGGAGGGAAGGGGAAGGAAGCCGTTGGCAGGCTGTTTGGCGATATGAAGAGGGAAGCTGCATAGAAAAGCCAGGCAGCAGATGTGACAATGATAATGAACCCAGGCCGCATGGGCCCTTGGTAGTTAAGGAGAACCCCTGGGAGGAAATTCTGACTTAGATCTTCTTTACACTTCCTTATTTTTCAGGCAAGGTTTTTGTTCCTCTTCCCCGAAATCTTCATTAAAATCTATGAGTAGCCAAGTGTATTTTTATTGATTGGTTGATTTTTAGAGAGAAAGAGATCTATTTGTTGTTTCCTTATCTGCATTCATTGGTTGATTCTTGTATGTGCCCTGACAGAGGATTGAACCCAAAACCTTGGTGTATTGGGACTCTGCTCCAACCAACGAGCTGCTCTGCCATGGCCTAACCAAATGTATTTTAAGGTCAATCTCAGCTTTGAAGAATTTGAAGAACACTATCAATTTGTTACAGTAGCTAAGGAAACATAGTGGGACTCATACTACATACTCAGATGGTATTTCAGTTTATTGTCACGCGCAATGTTACAAATTCCAGATGTAGTCTCTTTTTGAAAATCCCATCTAGGTCAGGTGACATGTAAGTAGGAATCTCCTGGGAGGGGGCATTCCTTTATAGGGAGTCAGGGGAGGCAGCTCATGAAATCAATACCACCCACTCTGTGCCGCTAAGCGTTATGGAAATGGGCCCTACATAAGAATGGTGTGTAGAAGATGGCACTGGGAGGTACACGTTGGCTGCTGCAGAGCGGTCACGGAGATGCGGATTGCAGCATGGGGAATATGGACAATAATATCTTCCAGGCTCTGTATGGGGTCAGCTGGTGCTTGGGGCAGGGGAAGGACTACTCTTAGAGTGTGTGACTGTCTAGCCACTGTGCTGTGCATCTGAAACTAATACAGAATAATATGGAATGTAAACTATAATTGAGAGAGAAAAAAGAATTGTGTGTGGAGAAAGAGCAGGTGAATTCTGTGGGAAGCCTGAAGGTCTCTCTGGTCAAGTGTATGAGAATAAACATAAAGATCTCTATTTTTAATACTTCTTGAGGCCTTTTCTTTTCTGTGTTTAGAATAGGTGGTCCTGTCAGATGAGGTGGCATGAGGTACACGTTTTCTCCTGTTGTAAATTCTGAGAGGGCAGCGGCCTAGCGTTACTTCTTCCCTCTTCCCCAGCCCCTAACATAGAGCCTTCGCATGCTTCCTGCACACCAGGTCCTCAGGAATTCTTGGTAATTGATCATTACTTCAGTGTTTACTATGTGTGCTTTGTCTCGCAAACCAAAATAACATAGACTAAGGGTAGGTCCAACCTACATTTACAGAGTATCCTCTTTAAGTCCAATAGGAATTCTGGACTTATAAATGTAGGTTCTTAATAAAATATTTTTCCAGTTCAATGTAATTCAATAAATAGGCTGTGTCT